GCATTATCTTTCTTCGGGTCAAGAATTGTTCCAGGAATTCATCGACTTCTGTATCTCCCGATAAGAATTTCTCAGCTATTTTCTGGCGACGAGGGAGAATACAAATAAAAATCACAATTATCATTTGATAATTGTTTATATAATTGCTTAAATAATTACTTCCGATTCTTCTTCAATTTCCACAGCAGCTCACAGCCTTTCTTTCAGACAGTTCATGTAATGCTTTTTTATTCTCCTCGAGTTGGAGTTGCTTTTCTAGATTGACTTCGGCCAGAGAACGATTTCCAGCGATCAGAACTTCCTTTTCAGATTCCAACTCTTTAAATTAGAAAACCTCACGAAAAGTAAGTAAGTCGCATATCTAATAATAAGACAAGAAAATAATGAGACAACCGCCTTATTATGCATTTATTGTCATCGATTAAATAATTCACCTGTTTTATGTCATTGACAACTTCCTCGAATCTTCCATCATCGTTCAATATTTCTCCCAAATCAGTGTTGCTGAGATGATTCAACATCGACAATGTAGCTAGAATATCCATCGAAATTGATGAATTTACTATTAATTCATTATTATTTATTATTAATAAATGTCATGGTTCTTTTTTGATTCCAGGTTTTTAAATTATAACAATTTCCCATTTATTAACTTAGTGGATTAGGCCTACAGGGGATACCACTTTAAAAAAAAACGCGTCAAGCACTCTACCCCTTGGGTGACGTGGAAAGAGTTTCACTTTAATTACTTGATTTATGAAAAAATAGTCAATACTGGGGAAGAATCTCTCGTATTGAAATAATCATATACCCATTGTTCATTTATGCTTTTGTAGACAATTTTTATGGCATACCTTTTTTTTTCATGTCAATTTGAAGGAAAAAAAATCAAACGGCTCGACTGGCATTCAAATGTAAACGCCAGAAATCGCTGAATTGTGGGGATGAAACGCACATGAGGAGAAGGCGTTATACCGCGCTACGTACGATGTCTACGTACGGTGGTACTTGTCCCCTGTTTTGGTGACGGCGACATCAAAGCTTGGCAATACCTCCCTGTATCATCCCTTACAGGTATCCAAATATTTTTATTTGTAATACCTCGAGAGTCTTGATAATTGTTTAGAATGAGATTAGATAAAGGAAAAGGCACAAAATTGAACACAAAATAACACGAACTGGCTGTCATGAATTATATTTTCTTAAAAAATGAAAATCGAATGTTTACAAGTGGGACGAAAGTAAATTGCTATAAGTATCCCCGAAATTTGAATAATCATTCGAACATTAATTTACCTAATACTTCAGCTTCTTCGAGATGTAACAGAGCCTCTGTCAAAAATATATACTAACTTATGATATACTATTTGTGTCACTTCCTTCCGATTACTCAGTAATCTCAGAGAGGAGCAGATGTTAATCTGTTCCAATCTGCACATCGACGGCTGCTGAAGATGTGTGTGCTACGTTCACCGACAAAAACTACATTTGATATTTTACGGAAATACTTGTACTGGAGAATATAGATAACGCCAAGTGGCGATAGTAATATTGTAAAGCTTCCACATTTATTTTAGTTCGAGCCATTGAAGTAAGTTTGAGACTCCATTAATGTCAGCTGATGTTACTAATCATGACTATTAGACATGTGACGTTTATGAGTTGTTTCAGTCTCAACGTCGTGTTCGCGTTTACGACTGCTCGATGCCTCTGGTGTTTTTGCTCTTGTCTCTCCCTCTGCAGTACTAGAATTAATAAATTCCCAATAAATCATCATGTCGATCGTTCTATCATTATTGATAACGATTGGCTCAAAAGTACATAAAACATTGGCATCATGAGAATCCTAATGATGAGACACTGTTAATGATCACTTAAATCGAGGAATGGTGAAAGAACACATGAATGAACAATATAAAAAAATCTGATGGATCTGTTGCAAAAGGAAAAACATGCCGTTCTCCCTCTCTCGAAGTTTCTCCGGGAATTAATAATAATAGTCGCGACAATGTTTTTTTTTTGCGGTTAATAAAACAAAAAATCTCACAACGTACTTACGTTGTTTACAAACGTCATCACTCTCTTCATAAAATTCATTTTTCTAATTAATACTTTGGGGAGTACCTGCAACGAAGAAAACCACAATATTCCATACCAATATTTTTATGTACTTTGCAATTAATATTTTTGTGCAATAACTTCATATAAAACTTTTCTCAGGAACTGCTCATATTTTGTTATTGTTGAATTATCAATGAAAGATGCTCATGCAGAACTGCACGAATACATTGTGCATGCGAAAATAGTACTGACTCAAGCAGATACGTCAACGTGGGAATGTGTTTGAGGAGAGAACGACAGCAGGACAGCTCCAAAGATGATGATGATGGTGGTGATTCTGTGGAGTTTGTAACAAGCCACACCAGAAGTACAACTCACCTGGAGGAGCTAACATTGGAACTAGGTCTTAGGCTTCTTCTCGCAGATGGTGCCCACCTTGAACGACTACTTTGACGACTACTAAAAGCATTCCCCAATTAACCAACCAAAAATAATAAATAAGTACGAGACATCCTCAAGAACTAGTCACTGGGAAATTAATAAAACGTATCGACAAATCCGTTTATTCAGAATAATGAGTAATAAGATAAAGGGAACAATAGCAGAAATAAAGCAGACGTGAAATTTTCTCCGTAAATGCTTCCTCGTTTCTGATTCCCTGATCATGAATTCTCTATTAATGATTTCTTCTGTTCGTCCCACGTCTGTACATATATTCCATAAATTGATTAATATTTGTAATAGCTAGAAATTCGTGCAGACAATTAATAAAATAAGAGACGTTATAAATTCGAGATAGAAGAGAATTTAGAATTTTGTCGAGTACTTGAAAAATTGTAGGGTGCAGTGAAATGAGCTGTATTCTACTATGTGTAAAAAATTCGATTGAATTGATTTTTTATTTTTTTAACGAACCTTGAAGAACCGTCAGTGAGAGCAAGACGTCTGGGCTCCGAGCGTTTTCTGTGCTGGGAGCCATGCTCATGTCCAATAGCACGATCACTGCGATGTCCACGTGAGCCTCTGGCGCGATGCTCCCATTCTTGATTGAAAGTGTCTGCCTCTTCTACACATTCAAAATTTAAACAAGAGAAATGCGAATTCACTATTAAACTTTAACAAGTCCATTTAGCTAATAACAAACCCTCTTCGAGATTGATGAATTCGTGATGCTCCTCCTCATCACCATTATTGAGATTCTTTTGTTTTTCAATTACGTGAGCTCTCTCTCCAATGTGATGGCCAATAGCCATTTTCTTGGTTCCAGTGCGAGAGTCATAAACGGACTCTTGAGTTTCCTTAATTCCACCTGGGACAGCTCGAGTTGACCTAGAGGCCTGATACACCTGAGGACGTCCGTCTGGTCCACTTGTGTAAGCCATAATCGAAGTGGAAGACATTCCGTGACAATTTGGATCCTGACCCATATTATCCTGCAATTTCAAGTTCACTCCAATGTTCAACTATTCCTCTGGCGTTGTAAAGTTTTCAACGCTGTCAAGAACTTTCTTTAACTTACGAATTGCGAGAACATGTTGTTCATGTTAAATGGTGGCATTCCGAATCCAAAGGGCATCATTTGGTTGTGACGGTGACGTCCACGTGGCTCTGGTCCCATCAGAGCTGGTCCCATCATTCCGAAGGGATTGCTGAACAGTGAGTTCATCATGCTATTCATGTGTTGCATGGATTGCATGTGAGACCTGATGATGATTTATTGATGATGAAAAAATAAAATCGCATGAACGAAGGGAACTTAAGTCAGCCAAACAGAAAGAAAATTAATTCAATCTTTGATTGATAAACAATTGTCAAATAAAACACGAATAATCTGGTGATCAGTAAAAATTACGGCGTTATTGAAGGGAATAAAAATCTAACAGTTCGATCAAAGATGTCAGACTCCATGATGGAAAAATTCTCAACTTCTGGATTTTGGTCTCTAGGAACGGCGATCGATAAATAAATGAAAAGTGGGAAGTGACAACTGACATTCAAGTGTGAAGGGTCAGCTTCGCCCCTCATGCATAATAAAAAAAAAATAAAGTGATATTATTATTAATTGGGTGTATAAGTCATCATCGTGATATAACCCAACTTGTTATAATCCCAGTAGTAATTACATTACATCCCAAATGAAAGATTAATTTCCCGAATTATGCTTCATATCAATCGGTCAAAGTGTATTTTCTACATAAAACGAACATGACTGACGTTACTCACCCGAAAATAGGGTCATCCTCGAGGTCTCCTAGCATTCCTCCGAACATAGACATTTTTCAGGTGTTAAAGGAATGAATTTTAAATCGCTCGTATCAATGTGACGCAATCACTAGGCAGAACTATCGATTGAAATTATATTTGAGGGGTTACAGAATTTTCTAGATTCTTCAGAACGCGCAAGCAATAACACAAAACCGTGAAATCAGAAAAATAACTATATGTCTTCACAGATGGTGTAAAACTATTGGAAACTCGATTCTGTGCCCTACAACAACGAGCCTGAACGAGTTAGTGGTGCCATAAGCAGCTGACGGCTATGAGTGCAACTAAAAATCATCAACGAACAGATGACAGCGGAATCGAAAACCGTTATTTTCCGTAAACAAAAACCATTACTCATTATTTCCAACAATTAAAATATCACGTTGCACATACAAATAATAGTTTTGACCAACTTATGAGCGTAACGACATGGCGAACGAGTCCATTGCCTCTTCAGCTTCGTTTTTCGAACCCTCGTTGAAATATTCCGAGGAAAATACTCAATTACTTTATCAACACGTCAAAATGGTATGTTTTTTCAAATTAAACTCCTTTTTCATTCGATCGTAGCATAAAATTAATTCAATATTTTATTTTCAGAACCTTCAGGACATCCAAAAAGTTGCCACAGAAATCAACGACAACATGAAGAATCTACAAAAGAATATGTTTGTAACCGTAAAACTATTGAATGCACTCAAGCCTCGTAATGACGATAAAAATGACTGAATCGATATTTTTACTTTATTTTATTCATCGAAGTACATAATGAAAAGGGAATAAAAATGTGTTTTTAAGAGAATGATGAAGTCGAAATTAATTGACAGCGTTCTGCTTTTCCTCCTGGTACATGTAGTGGAGGTCCTTACAGTCTTCGTCAGAAATGTGCACCCAACCAGTTTCTTTCATGTGGTAAACTGAAGTTTTACGATTAAAAATTATCCAGGAATCGATAGACTATATACACATTTAATCGAGCGTTTTTTTACCTCTGATAATGCCTCCAGAATAAGCATCTCTGTGTGTGGCATGGTAAATAGATCTCCTTCCCAGATCATAGGCTTCCTCGTCAGTGAGATTCCAGTTATAACCAGAATCCAAAACTCCAAACGCAAATACTGACCCTGAGCCTACGCTGAACACCTTTCCGGGAGTCCTGGTGCCTTCAGAGTCGACGTAGTAGAGGCCTGGTCCACGTTTATCCCATCCCGCAATCATCATCCCTGAAGAGTCAAAACTATGTAGAGTACCATTTTTTTTAACCTTTATTTTTTTAATCCCTTACCCATGGACAGTCCCATTCCTTTATAATTGTAAACCATGTTGGAGATGAGTTTACTGGCAGCAGCTACTGATATTCGTTCTCTGTTTCTCAATTCGTACATGCGACACTGTTTGGCAAGAACTCGATCCCAGTACACGCAGTCAGCAGCACCACCAGCCAAAGTACCCAGTAAGTAATCATTGATTTCAACGATTTTTTTCATACTCTGAGAGCCTGATAAATGTTTAAATACATGATCAATATCGTTACATTCGTAAATTATTGAGTAAGCCATTTTTACCGATGAATTGACCCCCAGTGGCTCGAGAATCGACAGCCAGGACGACACCCCCTTGGTAACGGAAACCAAGAGTTGTTGTTCCATGATCAAATTTTATTTTCAAGTTCTTGCCATTGTCATCTGGTACACTGGCCAGCTGGGCAAGCCCTTCAGCCGGCTGAAGAAAAAAAAAACGAAAAACAAAGTGTAAAATCAGGAAACCAACAGGAATGATTCTGCAAGTTTTCTGCACATAACCTCACTCACATTTGCGTACGGAGGAACAGCTAAAGACAGGTTATTCCCGAAATTCCTGCTGTAACTGTCAATTTCATTCTGCAGCTGATTTTTATCATCGAAAGATGTGAAATTCACGTAATTATTGAGGCCACAAACTTCAGCGAGCGCCATGATCAGTTGTGCACTTCAAAGATGATATTTACAGCGAATCAGAGTTTATACGGAGATTATAGGAGAGATCAAAGATCTGAGCAAAAAGGATTGACTAAAGTAGAGGCTCAGTTCTGGGAGTTTGAGAGACCTCAATGGCATTGCAGTAGCCGACCCCATAAGAGGGAGGGCGCCACACCCAACGCTGGGATATCTGCTCGTTAGCCGACTCAGCCACTCTTCAGTAGCAGTCTCGCTGCCACCAGGCAATAACAATAAATAAATTGATTCCTCTTATTTTTTATTAAAAAATAATAGCGACTTATAGCTGATGCAGCAGTTTTCGCGAATGAACAGGCATTCGAGCTGACGGGATTAGAAAACAGGACGTAATTCAATGTATCTGATACTCCCATTCCCGTTTCAGAGATCCAATCGAAGTGTTTTTGATGGTTAAGACCAAAATCCACACGCTAAATTCTCTTCAATCTATTATTTTTCACTGACTATTGGATTTTTTGTGATTGCACTGTTTTTTTACGAGATAATTATTTATTAGGTTCAGAAGTTTCGCAGTTATCTTATCTCGTCAAATTGAAACTGCCCGGTTTGCACGGTGTTCTGTGCGCAAGCGCGGAGTATCGCCTGGCGACCCTCCACTCGAGCGCCGTCTCCAACGCCCCGCCATTGTGAGTAGGGAGTCAGTCGTTCGGCGGCAGTGCGTGGAACGGTCGGTCTGTGTCGCGTAGTGAAAATCCGTTAACATCGGGGTCCTAGTACGTGCAGAAAACCGGCGCCGCCTGTGAACATTGAAAATACAAAGTGCGGGACTCAGTGCAAGTGATTTTGGGATGTGAAATTATTTTTTAAACAGTTTATCAGAGTATTTTGAGTGATTGAGATTTTTCGTTTGTTACACTGAACTTCGGTATTGCCGAACGGCCGCCCGGCGTCATTGTGTTTACAAAAATTCCTTTGTCCGTTTCTCGGAATTGTTTAGTGTGTGTTTAGATACGGACTGAAGTGAGAGTGCGAATTGGATTCGAAGGATTACTTTTCTCATTCATCTTATTTTGAATGATTAAAAATATTATTTGATCTTTGATATTATTTTATTGATCTTTGTGGATTTTGAGTTGATAAAACATTCTTGGTTGTGTGGTGAGTGATTAGTGAACTTTTGAACTGTACGAGTGCTGGTGCTTCCAAGCCGACTTCAACCTTTGGCGTCAGAATCACAGTGAGATCTTCAGGATTGGAGGGAATCTTGCAACCGACTGCAAGGTGAGTTTCGTATGCATTTTTTTATGACCTTGAAGCATCATTTTCATTTTATTTTCATGTCATTTTTTTCATT